TAACTGATCCTTCCATCGATCTATTAGACATGTTTAAAGTTTATTAAGTCCAAATTCTGAATATTTGAAATGGCTTGGTTTGTCTGGTTCCGTTTGGTTTGTTTTACGGCATATCAACCTCAATGGATTATTTAATATCGAAATGATTTTTATTGTTTGTAATATTTAGTTTTTCTGTCTTTCGGTATATCTATCTATCTATTTCAGTATATATATATTTGGTTTGGTTTGTTTTACGGCATATCAACCTCAATGGGTTATTTAATACTGACAAGATTTTCATTACTAATAATATTTCTCTGTACTGCTGCTAATATTTCTTTTAAAAAAATGTATTGCTGGTATTAAAACCAATTTTTAAACTTTCATAGTGTTTTGACCCCAGTATGGGGGTTAATTATTTGCCCATATTTGGGGCCTAACAGGTGCTACCACCCTGGGTTAGGGTTGACCTGGGCACACAAGCAATTAAGAGGTGGTTCCACTCTCCTCAAAGCCTCCTGATCAAAGGCCTTGCTGTTGGATGTAGTTTATCGTCTTACCCAGGACGCGGATGTAGTTTATCGTAATACTCGGGACGGATTTTGAAAAGGTTTATCCTAAGTTTTACTTCTTGGAACACTTGGCAAATAAATTTGATTTTTTTTTTTTTGTGGGGAGGGGGTATCAAGAGTATTCTTATCAAAACTCTGTTTACCTATGTCACCATCATAGCTCCTCTCATCATCGGTAAACCCCTTTTTATATTACTAAACTCGTGAGATGTAATACGGAACATTTAAATGAACAATGTCAATGTCTTCACATCTGTCCTTGTAAACACTCAGAGCATTGTCAAGGAAGAAATTGAGCAAATTGGAGCTCTCATTTTATCGTTGTAGTACTCCTAATGTATTCAGCGTTTCGGCCTTCATCAGGCATATAAAACTTAGTTCCTCTATCAAGTCAAGGTATTCAGCCGAACAAAGCTTGGAAGATAGTTCCTGATAAATAGTTGTTGGTTGCTTGTTTTTGTTTACCGGCATATCAACACCTCTATGGGTCATTTAATGCCGAAATTAAATAAAAATGGTTTTAGTGATACAAGTCTTACTAATTAACTTATAGCTAGGAAGGAGAGGTGGATTCTTACCTTTCCCAAGATTATTAGTGCGTCTGGCATCTCGTCTACAGTCACTTTGTCACAGACGGGCTGTGGCTTCCCTCTGTCTTTTCTACAAGTATTTTTATGGCAACTGCTCTGAAGAGCTATTTTCACTGGTACTCCAACTGCATGAATTTAAACGTGCTACTGAGGTCGCATCTCGGTCCCACCCTTGCAATATCGAAACAGTTAAATGTAACCGCCTCTTCTACTCCAACAGCTTTTTCTTTCGCACTTCCCGACAGTGGAACTCTCTTCCTCTTACTTGCTTCCCTGATAGCTATAATCTTCAAATATTCAAATGTAATGTCAATCGACATCTTCTGATGCCTTATTCTTGATCCCCGTCTTTTTCTATGTATGTTTACCTGGCTACTCGTATTCGAGGATATCCGTCTACTAGCGGCTAGCCAATCCCTATTGGAGACGCTCGCTCAGGCGTATTTGTTTTTATCCAACACCCACAGAGCCCACCTGTGGTTTATACTGCAACTGAGAAAGAGCGTGTTATCTAGTGTGATCAAAATTTTTGAACAAGGCCAGCGCGCTCAACCCTCGGCCACGATGGCTTGTGACTTCGTGCTAGCACAGCTATCGACGGCCCCAAGGGATCCGTCTATCCAATTTCACTGACAAGGCTCGGGTCAACCCGTGATATGGTTTTCGGGCACTTTCCGCGCGCTTGGATCGACCCCTTCAGTCCGATAACGTCAGGAAGTCTCTTTCCTGAAAAAAACGACCATCGTGAGATTCGAACTCACATGGTCAAAATTCGAACCTTCTAACCATTCGGCCACCTACCCACGTCTTTCCTTGTATCCTTTCCTTAAACACCCCTCTTTACTCTTGCCCTCACTCTCTTTAACCCCGTGTGTGCTAGTGGGATCTAGGTAAATTGATCGAAATCAATTGCTCGAAAAATAATTTCTCGAACTATCAATTACACGAAAGGAAGATTACTCGATGTAATTTCGAAGCTCGAAGCATTGGTATTGAATTAACCTACAATACTACTGACTTTTTTCCTGATTTTATTTTCTATATTTGTTTTCTATTAAAGAACATTGTATCAAACTATGACACAACAATGTTGAAGAATATTTAAGAAGTGCTGCATATAATATTTCATACTAATAGAGTAAATATAAGCAACAATAGTTATATATTTTTTATTTTTTTTAAATCACGAAGAATAACAGTAATAATAAAAATGTACCCTTTATTTTAAACGATGACAAAAAAGCAATGTAGAAAAAGAAAAAAGACCTGCTATATAAATGTACTCGTTCTTTAATTTTAAGTGTTCAGTTAACAACAATAAAGTTGTATTATTTTATCTTATAGTAAATATTAGAAACAATGTAGTTTTATTTTTTTTAACCACAGGTTTCGAGCAATCTGCCTTTCGAGCAATTGATAGTTCGAGAAATTATTTTTCGAGCAATTTACTGTCGAGCAATTTACCGAATACCGTGCTAGTGGCATTCCCGCCTTCAAATGAAGTGCTTTTAAAAAAAAGTGAATATAACGAAACTAGAATTGGAACACGGCTCTCCGATTAACAATTTCAAGCCATTATCCATTACACCACCCACACATCCAAGTATTCCCAAACGGAACACTGATGTATCAAAAAAGATGTTTTTATTCATATCGTCCTTTGCAGCTGCGAGATCAAGGTAGAAGGTATGAAACTTTCTATTCGGTAAGTAAGCATGGTTAAGTATCCCTGCGTATATTTACGATGTGCAATCCTGAGGACACATTATATTATAGTCTTAGCCACCTTCTGGCCAGTTTGCATTGCCATAGACAATTGCCATAGACAATTGATAGTGATAATTATTTTGGCCTTTTCCTTCTTAAAACAAACATTCTTATGACAGATACAATGAAATGCGTGTTAAACTAGTAAACAAAAAATCACCTACCCTTCTCAACCTTTCTTTCTCAAATATTTGTAGCATTCGTTATAATTTCTCTAGTGTTGAAGATATTTTCGCTCTTTGTGAAACTAATTTAAATTCTTCTATCCCTACCAATGAATTCTGTTTCAGGCTATCTCCCGCTTTGCTGAAAAGATTCTAGCATTGGTGTTTATATTAAGGAAAATATCCCAATTGCAAGGGAATTATCTCTTGAGTCGGCAAATGATTCATTCGTGTGCTTTCGACTTTCGTTATTGGCTTCTGTTAGATATCTCTGTTTCTTTTATCGCTCTCCGTCTCAGGACTGTAACATATTAAATAAAATGTCTGACAATATACAAATGGCTCATTTTCTCCATCCATGTGCGAATATTTTTATTTTTGGTGATTTTAACACTCATCACGTCAAATGGCTTAATCAGTCTAATGTTACAGATGTTCAGACTTTCAATTTTCCCATTGCTCAGTCTCTAAGTCAAATAGTGGATTTCCCTAAACAATTTCCTTAATAAATCTTTTCAAGATTCTTCTTTAATTTATTTGTTCCTTACCTCCTCTCGGAGCTCTTGTCGAGCCTCACAACTCTGTCCTCTTGGCAGTTGGGATCGCGCTGTAGTAGCTATTGATATTTCTTTTGATTCGTCTATTAGAAAGCAACCTCCTATTGAAAAGACGTTTTCTTTAATCAGCGGGCTGATTGGGATTTATTTAGTGACTTTATTCGAGATGCCCCTTGGATTTATATTCTTAACCTTCCTATTGAGAATTATATCACAGAGGTTTTTTCTTGGGCTAAAGCTGACATTGATGTTTTAGTACCTTCTCACAAATATCAGGTGAATCCACAATCTTCTCCTTGGTTCACACCAGCCTGTTCAGCCGCTATAGCCCATAGGAATCACTTTTCCGCTACAACAGCGTGATAATTCCGATCACAACAGTCGCCTGTATATGACTGTTCAAAATAATTGTAAACCTATACACAAAGAGGCTCGATCTTTGTTTTACTGATAGATTGAGGCACTGTATAGTTTGGTTCACGTGACTGCTGGTGAATATGTAATGGGGGTGTGAAAAAAGAGTAAATCTCCTATCCCACCTCAAGATAAGAATGGTGAATCTCGGGATGTCGCTTTGGACACATCTCGAAGGCATTTGACACAGTTATTCTTCACACAATTTGAGGTGTTAACATTTTCTGCTAATAAAGCAGAAGATTTTGCCAGTAAATATCCTTCAAATTCTTTGGGGTGTCTTTGCTTGACTTTCAACTTTAAACTGAGTCTCTATTGAGTGGTATGCCTTTAATGTCCGTCCAAGGCTTCTGCTACCATTTCTAAACTAATTCTTCACAAAACATGCGGTCTTGATGGTATCCCTGCAATATTCATTAGGAAATGTGATCCTGAACAGTCTCATGTTTTCTCTAAACTCTGCAATAGATGTCTTACTGTTTCGTGCTTTTCTGCTTCTTGGAAATCCTCTTCTGTAGTTCCAGTCTTTAAGAACTTTGGCAAACCATTTGATCCTTCTATCGACCTATTAACCTTCTTCCTCTTTTTGACAAAGTAGTAGAGGCTCTAAATTGGTTAAGGATATCGCAGGGGTCTTCTTCAGATAAGGAATATGACTTTCTAAGTCAACTGCTGATCTTTTAACGATTATTGCTGAAAGAGATTTCAAGGTATCAAGATAAGAATGGTCAATCTCGAGCTGTCGCTTTGGACACATCTCAAAGGCATTTGACAGCGTTTGGCATATCATTATTCTTCACAAGATGAAAGGTTATGTTTTTTCTGAACTAATTTTTGAACTGATTCAGTCTTATCAAATGGCCAAATGAAGGTTGTCTTGAATGGCCACTCCTCTACATCGATACATTAGAAAATTCAAATAGAAAAACCGTGAATTTTTCACTCGTATTATTG